ACACACACACACACACACACACACACTCACACACACACACGCTTCGGCTTCAGTCATGTGACGCTCAGCAGGAAGTTGATTTACCTGCACGACTGCATCAGTCCCGCCAGACTCTGGAAAAACCCCACGTCCCGTTTGTCCTTCAGGTAGTCCAGCATTTTCTGCAGGTGGACGACAAAAAGCACACAAATACGTCAAAGTGCAGCACAGGGAACAATGGGAGTCTAGTCCACATACTCATATTCCAAGTGACATGAACATCAATGTGCATTTTTCTGTACCTTCTTGTTTTTTATTGCATGTATGTTATCTAGAGATGCACTGACATTTTTTGAAACCAGTGTCAGAGTCTATTTCACACAACGTGGATCAACTACAACAGATCAGCATGTCAGCTGTGTGACGCTAGCGCTGCATTAATACCCATTTCTCATTTTTAATTGATACTGATATGGATTCTTAAGTCTGTGCTGTTTTCTGTTGATGCCTGTCACTAAACATTATTTGCAGCTCCTCCCATCCAATAATCACAATAAGTTTTGTGACTTGACATGAAACAAAGTCTCAGTTTTCAAATCATTATGAAATTCAATCAATAAATGCTGTTTTGTGGCTCTTTGATGTGTGATTCAGATCAGATCGTTGTCACGTGAAGCGGTCATCTCTTCCTCTTTACTACTAGTTACATCAGCAACAACTTACTGAGATCAGTCATGAATCAAGTAATCGAACAATCAGTGTTTCAACAGTCAATAAAACAGCTTGAGATCAGTATCGTCACATGACCTTAAACTTGAGAGTCAGCTAGAAAAACAACTCTAGAAATGAGCGCTTTGATAAATATATGCACTATATTATATATTCATTATTTTTACTAAACCAGTTGTCTTCATGTTTGAATAAATCTATCATGAAAACAAATCTTATTACGGCCACTGTTTAAATGTTTACAAAAGTAGAAAAAAAGCTTGCTCTATTCTTTTTCTATTCTGTCTGTTTTCTTTTTAACACTTGCATATCATTGCTCTCTTGCTGATTTTGATTGCTTTTATTGTCCTCATTTGTAAGTCGCTTTGGATAAAAGCGAATAAATGTAAATGTAAAGTAGAAACATAATTCCGTCCACCATTCAGTTCAAATTCAGTCCAAACCACCATCAATAACAAATGTGAGAAAACAGAATCAACAATGCTCTCAATCAAACCACAGCAGACTTGTGATGTTCATCCAGCTCTTGAAAATAAAGCTTCCAGAAGGGGGTTTTTACACTCGAAGAACCATTTCTGGTTCCCCAAAGAACCTTTCAAAGATCAGTTTTTAAAAGGACCATTTTTTTCTTAGTGTGAAGAACATTTTTCCACTATAAAGAAGCTTTTGTGCAATGGAAAGCTCTTCATGGAACCATCAGTGCCAATAAAGAACCTTTATTTTTAAGAGTTTATAGCACCTTCTGTAGCAGAAATTGACTTTATTAACTGGACTGAAAAGACTTCTGAATGAAATTGTGATTGAAAGGGGTGGTGAAGATCTTAAATAATCTGTTTAACAGAACATTTTAGCCATGTCAACTTTTGAACCTGACTACTTTCTAAATTTGGATTACGCACATATAAATGAACATTCGAATCAGATTGCTAAAATTTGGGTTCATATAAACAGAACTTTCAGAACCTCAATTCAGACTGAATTCATTCTGCAAAAATCAGTTCATGCAGTGTTAATTTTGTTTCGTCAACGACATTTTTTTCCACTGACGACAACGAGACGATAGCGAACTAAAACTCTTTTTGAATGACAAAAACGATGATGTAAATCTATTCTTATGTTCGTCAACGAATAAAAATGAGATGAAAACGTTAGGGAGGGATGATTTGGGATGAGATTCATTCAGAAGGAATCTGCTGCGTGGTTCGGAGGTTAGATGCGTACATATGAACCGGCGGGACATAAGCTAACATACACTTGCTGCACGTTGCATCAAACGTTAAAAAATGTCAATATGTGGGAGTAAGAGAAGAGCAAACATATGGATTAAATTCAGTCCAAACCACCATCAATAACAAATGTGAGAAAACAGAATCAACAACGCTCTCAATCAAACCACAGCAGACTTGTGATGTTCATCCAGCTCTTGAAAATAAAGCTTCCAGAAGGGGGTTTTTACACTCGAAGAACCATTTCTGGTTCCCCAAAGAACCTTTCAAAGATCAGTTTTTAAAAGGACCATTTTTTTTCTTAGTGTGAAGAACATTTTTCCACTATAAAGAAGCTTTTGTGCAATGGAAAGCTCTTCATGGAACCATCAGTGCCAATAAAGAACCTTTATTTTTAAGAGTTTATAGCACCTTCTGTAGCAGAAATTGACTTTATTAACTGGACTGAAAAGACTTCTGAATGAAATTGTGATTGAAAGGGGTGGTGAAAATCTTAAATAATCTGTTTAACAGAACATTTTAGCCATGTCAACTTTTGAACCTGACTACTTTCTAAATTTGGATTACGCACATATAAATGAACATTCGAATCAGATTGCTAAAATTTGGGTTCATATAAACAGAACTTTCAGAACCTCAATTCAGACTGAATTCATTCTGCAAAAATCAGTTCATGCAGTGTTAATTTTGTTTCGTCAACGACATTTTTTTCCACTGACGACAACGAGACGATAGCGAACTAAAACTCTTTTTGAATGACAAAAACGATGATGTAAATCTATTCTTATGTTCGTCAATGAATAAAAACGAGATGAAAATGTTAGGGAGGGATGATTTGGGATGAGATTCATTCAGAACGAATCTGCTGCGTGGTTCGGAGGTAATCTTAAATAATCTGTTTAACAGAACATTTTAGCCATGTCAACTTTTGAACCTGACTACTTTCTAAATTTTACTTTCTAAAACATATAAATGAACATTCGAATCAGATTGCTAAAATTTGGGTTCATATAAACAGAACTTTCAGAACCTCAATTCAGACTGAATTCATTCTGCAAAAATCAGTTCATGCAGTGTTAATTTTGTTTCGTCAACGACATTTTTTTCCACTGACGACAACGAGACGATAGCGAACTAAAACTCTTTTTGAATGACAAAAACGATGATGTAAATCTATTCTTATGTTCGTCAACGAATAAAAATGAGATGAAAACGTTAGGGAGGGATGATTTGGGATGAGATTCATTCAGAAGGAATCTGCTGCGTGGTTCGGAGGTTAGATGCGTACATATGAACCGGCGGGACATAAGCTAACATACACTTGCTGCACGTTGCATCAAACGTTAAAAAATGTCAATATGTGGGAGTAAGAGAAGAGCAAACATATGGATAAACCTGACAACGCAAGAGAACTCAACTCGGTCCGGTTTTCTGAGCGCAGACACTGAAGCATAACGTTACACACACAGAAAGCGCCTCTCACAGCGCACGAGTACTCTCTCGCATCGCATGAATGGAGAATTACACACAAAATCATGTCAAATTGTCAGTTTTAACGAGTATTCACGTAAACAGCAGGGAGAACGTGTATCAGTACATTGCATCCACTGCAGCAGTGCATTCGGTTTTAAAGGGACAGCAGCCTAATTTAGTTGCTATTGTCCGAGTCATTGATGTTAATCAAGCAACAACAGAAAGAAAGAAAATAACGCACTGCTCTTGACTGAACAACTTTAGTAGCCCCAAAGATTAATCTAAATTTATTTATAGAAATAAATATGTCTGCTTGAAAGAATGAAGAATATGGTAAACAGGTTGCTATAAAGAATGCTGCAGCACGCGTGTGCCATGTGGGACACTGAATCATAACATGCACAGCGTTAGCAGTGAGAAGCATGCATGTTTTAATCACAAATGTAAGGTTTCTGCAGGTTTACAGTCACTGTGCTGCTCATACTCACCCGCCGTATCTAGTTGCTGCTTAACTGCATGAAGTCAAACTTTAGGGTTAAGCTCATGTCACCTCAAACTACCAATGCTTATTAAACATCAATGACTTTGAACCACTGTGTGTTGTAAATGGCTGTCAGTGTGAACGGATCTTCACAGGACTTGTGTTTGTGATGATCGTAAAGCTCTTCTGATCTACGGCTTCTCTCACTCTTACCAGTTTATTGCATGCAAACACGTTTCTGCGGCTGATGTGGGCGTCTCTGTGCGGCTCGATCTGCTTCAGAGGAGCTTTCACATGTTTAGAGGTGAAGTCCACATACGAGGCCTTCTTCAGGAGGGACGGGTTTGTTCGCGCGGGACGCTGCGTGACACGTTTGTGAGGCGGGATTTCTGGACCCGTGGCTTTAGACTGATGACACTTCATCCACTTTAAGATGATGATGAGTCTCTTGACCAGCTTTTTGAAATGTAAAGTGCGGTACTGATGCATGCAGACATGCAGACGGACACATGAGGGATGAGACGGAGATGAAGTTACACACATGCAAGAGATCAAGGGTCAATGACATGTGCGGATGTACAGGACCGCAAAGGAAAAATCTCATTGGCAAATGTAATATTTGTGTTAATTTTGGTTTTATACTTTTAAACAAAATTTCAAAATGACTTTAATTCAGAAACTGAAAATATGTTCATCAAAGAAGATCAGTATCCAATTTGTTTAATGATGTATAAATATTGAATTTAAATATGTATTTAAACAGATGAATAATTTAAAGGTATAATAAATATATTTAGATACTTAGATACAGATATATATTTTAAATTGCATTAATTTAACATTTTTGTCAAATGTGTGTAATTGCCCAAAAATAATATGATAATACAAATATTTTTTTTAAATTATAGTCCAGTCACCTTTATTTCTATAGCGCTTTATAAAATACAGATTGTGTCAAAGCAGCTTTACAGGAAAATAACGTTTCAATGACGCAAAGAAAATTCAATTGTGCTGTAAAGTAATTATTATATTTAATGATGTGTAAGTATTTAATTTAAATAATTAAAAAAAAAACATTTAAATGCACTTTTTGGAAAAGGTGCTCAATTGCTAATAAAATAATTTGGAAATGCAATCAATGTTTTTTTGTTTTTTTTAATAAACAGATCTGGACACAAAAGGAGCGTCACATCATTGACCCTTAAATGGTTTCTGATCACTGGTGCTGATGTGTTTCTCTGCAGTGATCAGAAACGCAGGACTGAAGGGGTGTGATGAAGAGCAGATGAAGAGCAGATGAAGAGCAGATGAGCGGAGCGTCAGCTCACCTTTCCCTGCAGGTGGAGGTTGTTCCGTATGGTCTCTCGCACCTCGTCCTCAGTGTCTTTCTGCAGAACAGGTTCAGCTTCATCACAAACGGCTCTCCGTGACGTCACTAAAGCAGAAGCATGTGTTCATGCGGTACCTGTGTGAAGCGGCTCTTGGCGAGTCCGATCAGCTCCTGGTCTCCCGGTGCGCAGATGTTCAGTCCCACAGGAAGTAAGCGCTTGAGAGCGGCGACGATCAGAGACGTCTGGAGGGAATATCGGTCACCGCGCTTCTTCATCTTCTTCCTCTCCTGATCCGACACGGCTCCCTTTTTGCACATGGTACCATCATAATGCCAAAATATTCTTTAATCTACCTTGTTTCCATGAATACACCATAATCATTCAATAATATGATACAAATCAAAATATCATGAAATATCACAATGACAGCATCACTGTACCAGAGTACAGTAGTTGATATAAGATCAGCTTCGGCTAACACGGTCATATACCAACAGATGTTTGCTCAGTATAGAAACCATCACACCGATGGAAAGTGCACAAGTTAAACGTGAGTGTGTGTGTGTTTGTGAGTGTGTGTGAGTGAGTGAGTGAGTGAGTGAGTGAGTGAGTGAGTGAGTGAGTGAGTGAGTGAGTGAGTGAGTGAGTGAGTGAGTGAGTGAGTGAGTGAGTGAGTGAGTGAGTGAGTGAGTGAGTGAGTGAGTGAGTGAGTGAGTGAGTGAGTGAGTGAGTGAGTGAGTGAGTGAGTGAGTGAGTGAGTGAGTGTGAGTGAGTGAGTGAGTGTCTGTGAGTGAGTGAGTGAGCGTGTGTGTGAGTGAGTGAGTGAGTGTGAGCGAGTGAGTGAGTGAGTGAGTGAGTGAGCGTGTGTGTGAGTGAGTGAGTGAGTG